GGCATGGAATAATTCAACAGTGGAAACAATCACCAAGGAAGGTGATGAGGTCCCCTCTACTGGAAGCATTCAGAAGTTGGACAGTCTTCTGTTAGGGATGCTTCAGTTTGGATTATTTTACCAAGCATGGGATTAGACTCAGTAGTCTAAATAGCTCCTTCCAACTCTATGATTTTGTGCTTTGCCCCCTTTTAGTCTGGATCCATGGACCTCTGCTGTGGATTGTGCCACCCCCTACTACTGCTTTGCTTGCAGAAGGAGCCTAGTTGGGCTGTCAGTGGAAATGACACCACAAATGGGGACCATGAACAAGTACAGAGAGAGTGAGATGGAAAGGGATAATAATAGCGAAGTGGATGAGGACAGAGCCAAAAGGAAAGAGAAGACAGAACTAGAAAGAAGGCAGAGAAGACTGGAATTGACATTTACTTCCAAAATAATTCTAAATGCAGGAAAGGCTGCCAAAGGTACTAAGCAACCCAAGGCTAAGATGCAGAGAGCTTGGAAGAGAGTTTCAGATGGAGAGGATTGTAAATTAGAGGATGCAGAAGCAGAAAGATAAGCCAGAAGGTACAAGAGATCAGGAGGGATAGGAAGATGACAGTTGGGTGAGGGGGAAGGGGAAGGAGAAATTGACAGAAATAGAAGAAAAAGGGAAGGTAGTCTTAAGTGCTGATTGCTCTGAAGCACAATGGAAGGGAACCGTTGCCTTCCTGAGCAGTTTTGTGAGCCATCATCATCATCATCATCATCATCATCATCATCATCATCACCACCACCACCACCACCACCACCCCTTTACTAAGATATGGAACAAGCAACCACCACCACAACACAATAATTATAAATGAAAATAATAAAATTAGAACCCAATAAACAAATATTAACCCTAAAACAACCAATATAACAATAGATGTAAAATAATGCCCCAGGATAGGACTGAGTGTGTGTACGTATGTGTGTGTGTGTGTGCGCACACATGTGTGTGTACCCATAATAATTTTAAAATATTATTAAATAATTTTAATAATATGAAATTGGTGTAACCTCCAACAATCCATGTATTCAACACAGAGTGCTGAACTAGATAGGAGCTTAACTTGATTCAACAGGACTTTTCTTATGTTCTTATCTACCCTATATAGAATATCAGCTCATACCCACCCAGGCTCAGAGCTTGCAGTCTCCTTCCAGAGCAAGCAGTCTCTTTCCAAGGAGTGGGAAGAAGCATTCAGCTTTCCTGGACTTCTTGTTCTCAGACCACCTTAAAGTCAATCAGATAATCTTAGCTACTGAAAACTTAACCTGTTCAGCATAACTACAATCAAACTTGGGGGGCAGGGGCCAGAAGTGTCAATTCAGCCAGAGAAAGATGTAAGAGAAGCAACAGAATAAAGCTGTCCCAGGAGCTTCAGATACCTTTGATCTATATATGTGTTTACTGAATATTTTTGATGAATGAGAGTTGCTTTGAAGTATCATTCCACATAGAAGGGTTGTGTCAGCCAACAGGCCCAAAAGTTTCAAAAGTTTCATCTCATTCTGGCTGGAAGTAAGGAGGAATCTCCTTTCTAGTGAAGAATGGAATAGGTACTCAGGTCAACTAGTGAGGCTTCTGGGTCTTACACAGCTCCCCATATCTGTGGTTGCGCTCTCTCTCTCTCTCTCTCTCTCTCTC